TTAGCTTACTTTCAGCTCGAAAGAATATCGAAGCGTTTTTTTCCGTTTATGTGTGTGTAGTAAAGCTGGAAAGGAACGTCATGTCGAGCGACGTCCTGTGATATGATGAGGAAATCACCAAATATGATAAAGGCTGTGTATTTGTCTTTTATTTTGTATGGTTATAAATCATTGCCGCTTACTTTGAGGAAAGAACATGAGTGACAATTATTTGGAAACATTCTGCTGATGAAAATTCTTTTACGTAAAAATGACGTATATAAGTAAACAGTTTAGGATATTACATGTCATGTCCTTTGTGACTCGTACGGGCTATTTATTACTGTTGGGATACTGAAATATAGGTTACTCTATGTGCTGAGCATGTGGATTTGATGGAGCACAAGGAATGCACGAGGAATTTTGGTGGGGAAGCGTCTTGAAAAACTGCTACTTGGAAGGCAATGATGTAGACGAACGCAGTGGGATCTTTAAATATAGGCTATGAAGGCGGGAACTGGATTTAACGGGCTCACGAGAAGGTATATGGAGGCGGGATTTTGTGGTCAAAGGTATAAATCTTCCACTTTCAATATGTACAGGAACGATATTAACTATCAAATGTTCGAGGAACATCTCTGTACCCTGACGTTAGATAGCACTGGAGAATCCTGAGGGCCTGCATACAAGTCTTTCTTGACCTAAACCTCTGAAAACCAACGTCCACTTACTTTAAGTGGTACCCGCCACATGGATAGTGACAGTTGAACTTTCTCTGTCTTAACTTGTTTCTTTCCCCTTTCTTAGCTATTAAGCTCTATCTGAAGCCAAAGGAAGAAACATTTGCCACAAGAAATAAAGTTGCTTGTCCACAACGCCATTGTGGTTTTCCTTGTGTACAAAATAAAAGTCGCGTACTTCTCGTGAAGACATCTCGTCAAGTTCCCACTTACTGAAAGAGAGCTAGCTTTAGTTCCTTCATTTCTATTGGTCGCGCAAAGTACACAAAGCAGAAGTAGCCTTTCTCTTGATATTGAACCTGGAATTTGGTGATGTATTGCAAGTCTTCTGGTGGGAGTGTTAGTGCTGAGGAAAAAACATACAAGAAAATCAGTGTCTAAGTTGCACGATGCCATTTCTGTCACTCCTTTCTTTATTTCTTTTATTAGCTATTATTTATGACTTTCCTCTTTCCTAGTTTTCTTTGTCCAGTCGCTCTTTTTAATTTTCTTTCTTTCACTCTTTTGCATTTGTTGTGGTTTAATTTTTTGGTCTACTCTTCTTGCTCTTATGTTTTTCTTTTCTTTCATTGAATGTTTATTTTCTTATGCTATTTCCCGTTTGATCTTTTCTTGCCTTTATATTTCTTTCTTTGTTTCCTTTTTATTAACGTCAATTTTTTTCATTCCCTAATTGTTTCGTTCTTTCTATTTTTTTCTTTGCGTTCGTTTTTTATTTCATCTGTTTCTTATTACCCTCTTTATTTATTTATTCTTGCTCTCCCTTCCGTTTCGACTTTTTTTCTTTTGTCCTCTTTTACCCGTCGCTGTGTTTTGTCACATTCTCCGCCACGATTAAGCAAACAATAATAACAAGTGGTGCTGGTGGATCAGGAAGGGAATGTGTCGTCACTTGCCGGAAGTGGTCGCAAAACAATCCTTGAACTCCACAAATGTCAAACAGAAGTCATTAGTGGCCGCTGATTCACATGTAGCCGAGGTGATTGCTACGACTCGATTAGATTCAGAAGGTCCATAGACTGAGTCTTGATGTTATCGTAAATAAGGTTTTAGTAGCTTTCCTAATTTCCCCGGGGAAAATACTTTAAACAACACGATTTACAATGTCACGTCTTTCCAATTCTTTGCCTCCATTTTCGTGTAGTTTTCTCTGTAGAAGTGACCATGATTGATTATCCGTATGGAGGAGGGACTCGGAACGTTTAACAGATGGATTCTGCTGCAGATACTCTGTGTTCTTCCATGCAACGTCCGAACGACGTCGCAGAAACACAGACAAGCACAACAGGCCGAACGGCGATTCCACTCCTCACAGCTGGTTCAAGAACAATAAATTGTGAGCTGAACGAGACAAGATGAAACGCTTGATGTATCGTTAGCAGCCGTGTTTCGTATTCGGGAGTTCCCGTTTCGAATCCATGCCGAATGTTTCCAGTATTTTCCCCTAAAGGTCCTCATATTAAAAGAGTAATTCGTGGCATGTGTTAATGCATGCCATTAAGCCTCATTTACGTGTGAGACATCTCGACAGACGTAAGTTTAATGAAGTTCAAGGTAATGAATTTGTTTCATTAGTTGTCAAATCCATATAATGTGATCGTTTCTCTTAATCTGTAAGATGTATATCGCTCATGACAACTGTCGACGATTAAGGACCACAAACATTGCATGGACAATTCCTTCAATGTGATCTGATTCTAAAAATTATTATTCAGAAGCGAAACAATGGATTTGAGCCCCGGTGTAAGTTTATTTAGACTACACACAATACAGTACTGTCGAAGAAGTTGCCTGTACGTTAGGCGTTTTGTAAGAAACTGAGATACTAGGCAGTGATGTTAATTATTAAAGAATGTATTTTGTCGAACATTCAAATAGTTGGAGAGGAACGAAAGTACCAGTACAGACTCAATATAATAATGGACGTGAATCTGACAGTTACAATCTACCTCATTATAGCGTTTGTGGATGGAATTCAAAACACCTTAGCCTGTCAGCTGAATATGCAGAATATCCGTCTTCTTAAATGCCGCAAGGCAGTCAAATTCGAGAAATATGCGGCCCGCAGACCCTGCAGTGAATATATCTATTCTAAACTTTGGAATTGAATTTTGATAAAATATGTAATCTTTAATGACAACATTTCGGAGGATATTTCACAGCGGCAGATAAAAGCAGCCCAGGTGACAGCGTGAGTTACGGTAAATTCAATGGAAATACGAGCTTCATTGTTACAGAGCCAAGAAAAAAACGTCTGTCTTCGTTTGCTTTCAAAATCACAAAGAATCGTCTACCATCTTTTGTTCCTTTTGTCACTTCTGTGCAGATTTCTTTCAATTTGTTCTTTTATAAAGACATTCGACGTAATCACGTCCATGTATTTTTTAAGGATAAAATGTCATTGTATCACTCACTGTGATTGACAGTTAAGTGGTTAGCAGTTTTCGTATTATACGGAATTTCGATGCGAACCTCAGCTGGAAAATCGGCGACCCAAAATAAGGATTAAGAGTACCTGGGGACGGCGCCCAAGATTTATTCGTATTCGTCCCTCTAGACCCCGTTTTAGATAGCAGAGACACGGGATAAGCATATGAAGTCTCTGTGGAAGTGGGGATTAAAACATGGAGCTTCATTGGTCCGGTATGCAGGTCTAGTGTGGGTCATAGATGTACGTATGAGCTTCTTGTCGCCATTAATCACCCTACACATCATCAATGTAAAAGAGAGTATCGCTAAAGGAAGTAGATGTATGAACCCAGGACGACAAGAACTCGGTGCTAGGCTCACACAGACCTGTGCATAACGGAGCACAACTTAACATGTAAGACTTGAGGTTCTCACAGCGGTGAGTATGAAGATTTCTGTCTTCTGGATCGACCAGACTACACAGCGCAACAACCCAGAAGACAGAAATCTTCATACTCTGATGACGGAGGCAGTATGATCTCTGAAACGTTGGTTAACATCGACCAGACTACACAGCGCAACAACCCAGAAGACAGAAATCTTCATACTCATCGCCCTGATGACGGAGGCAGTATGACCTCTGAAACGTTGGTTAACATCGACCAGACTACACAGCGCAACAACCCAGAAGACGGAAATCTTCATACTCATCGCCCTGATTATGGAGGCAGTATGACCTCTGAAACGTTGGTAAACATCTACCAGACTACACAGCGCAACAACCCAGAAGACAGAAATCTTCAACTTAACATGTGTTATCATTATCATCATTATTGGTCCTCCTCTTGTATGATTCTGCAGTGATCACCCTTTCAAGTAAACAGCTGTTACCAAACAATTTTGGGAGGTAATACACCTGAAATTTTCGTCACAAATTTCTCGAAAACTTACACTGTATCGTATATACTATACTCAAGTCATGTAACGCATTTGCGGTCATATCGCCACTGCATCTGTGTCAATAAGAAGATTCAATGTCGAAACTCGCCTAATCATTGATACATATACATTGTATGTGTGTGATGGGTTACTCTGTCAGATCTTTCCCTGTTCATACGTTTTATAGCTCACTGCCGCAAATCGTATAGGGAGCGTATTGAAAGGTAAAATATTCTCAGATCGTAGATGTATCGTACATCCAGCATTAAATATAAGTTGTTTTGCAACATTGCCACCATATGAAATTAAAATTTTCGTTTCTACATTTCCGAAATGCGTTGTAACGCAGTTACGATTTTTCTGTAAAATTGCTGTGGAAGCAATTTATAGTTTACAGTTTACTTGTTCGGACAAAAGTTTTAAATTTACTTCCATACTAATTTGTTTCCTTTTAGATCCCTGCTCGCTAAATTCCCCCATTGGTGTCCATTTTCTCTCTTATCATAAGCGATCATTCCAGTGCGCTTCAAAAGACTGCAAAAAGAGGTACAAAGTTTTTCTGCGCTGTCAAGGTGAGGAGCAGTGAGAGATTGTGTGATGTTGCTTTTGTTCCTCTGTACATTAATTACAACACTGTTGCCATAAAAATAAAAATCTGTTCTTGACTTCGGACAGATCATTAATGGACGTGTTTCTTCGGCACCCTTTCCTTACTGCAATAATTTTATTGAAAATCACAAGTTTCCACAGTATCTTTATTCATAATTGCTAATGACAAAACAAAACTTCCCCCTGATTATTTTGGTTCATAGCATTTGAAGAGAGCATTTGACAAGAAAATATCAGATACATAAAACACACATGCACACAAACACGGTTATAGACTAGAAGCAACGAGTTCAGTTGACGTCATTGATTACAATCTTTACTTACACTGTATTCAGCACAGCATCATCGCTTCTGGCTCAATGATTCTGCTTCGTGACAGGTATACGGTATCGAAATTTCAGTCTTCTTGAGAAAATGTAACTTCGATCGGCTTAGCATACAGTGACGTTTAAAATTTGTAAAGGACAAGTCTTCAGCCGGAAGAAACAGTTGAACAAGTGCGTAGTGTTTATGCTTTTAAACTTTTTACACACTTTTTAATGTGTGTGGGTCGTGTAACTTAGCTTCTTCTTGAAATGTGTTATGGATACTAATATTCAGTCTTAATAATAATAATAATAATTCTATGCTAAATCACTACATAGTTCCTTTTGTTATGTTCACATACTCCTATTAATTTCAGTCACTTCGAAGACTAAATCTATTTAATAATTTAATGCATTGTCTCATCACGTTACTACTCTATACGTTTTATGCCAATGTTTTATGAATACTTGTATGTAGAATTTTTAACACAGATATGAAACAAGAGATTGCGTTATCACAAAAACAGAAAATTTTCCTCTTTTTTGTTTAATTTTTTACATTGGGACCGGGGTGATTTCACAACGAGAGTGTGCCACCTTGCCGATTCAACAGGTAGCTGCTACTAGTACATATAACTCGACGCGTAATGACGCTCTGAACACGACGCCGACGTACACAGCAGGTAGGATGAGACGTACTGAACGTCTGCCTACGGAGCCGAGACTTGTGTACTGTTACGAGTGTCTCGCAGGGTGTTCCTGACACCAGTACCTCCGTCCAGAGCCTCACGCGCATGCTCCGTCTGGCGTCCTCTACCTCTATCGCGAATTGTAAAGACTGCCCACCAGTATGTATGTATGTCGTGTTATTGCAGCTAACGGGTTTTATTAGATCAGAGAGCGGTCGTTCGATGCGTATTAATGCAGATTAAGATGTAATCTCGGATGCTGTTTTTCTTGGATCGTTGCCCAGATAACGTAGAAAATACAAATATGTACGCAGTTTAAATAACAAGGAAAAGTTTGAATATCATATATATATAATGAATTATTAAAAGAGAAACAAGTCGACAACGACTTGAACTGCAGTTGCCCAAAACAAATTTTAATGTGAATCACAAAAACTGCTTCTTCACGTATTACGCTAAAGAGTCGCTCTTCTGCAATTGGTCTCTTCATCTCTTCCTTGGTTGTCCTAGTCTTCTTCTTCTTCTTCAACGAGATTTATGTTCAGTTCCTAGTTTCATAATTGCATTGTCCTTCATCCGTTTAAAATGCACGTACCATTTCTCTCGCTGATATTTAAACATTCAATTTACATTTTTATATTTTAGTTGGCTTCCAATACAGTGTGACAGGATGCCACGTTTTGTGCGTGTTTCTGTTGTTCCAGTTCTTTCTAAACCAAAACGGCGTGATGAATGGAACAGGAAATACCAGAATCATTGACCACACGTTATGAATTTGCCTTGACACGGTTCAGAACTGAATCTCTCCGCCCAGGGATGACGCAGAAAGCCGTTTCCCAATTAAAGTATGTAGTATGTGTTTGTATGTGCCAGGCTTATCGCCTTTTGCTTCGCTCAGCCGCATTGAAATTGTTGTTTATTTCGGTCTTCCCCACGGCTATGAAACTGAAAATGCGGAGCTAACTGTCGATTCCCAGGCATTAGAAACTCACACATGGGGACACTAATAAAAGCAGATGAAATAGAGGTGGCATCTGTCCTGTCTGAGGTCCTTTGTAGTTCTCTGCAATCGCTCGATACAAATTCTGATATAGTTTCTTAAACTAGACCATGGACGCATTCTTTCAAATATTTGCCTACCTAAAATTGTTGGTTATATTCCCATTTCACTCGATACCGCGGTTGAGATAACCTCGATAAATAATCAGTAATATGCTCAGTTTTTGAAAGCATGCTAAATTTTGTGTAAAAAATATGCGTACGCTAAAAATTACAAACATGGTAGCGAATTAGGCCTACACTTTGAATCTGTGTCCCACAACTTTGCGGCAGTAAATACTGATACTGCTAGAAAATATGCATAAATTAACCAAATACTGTGGTATATCAGTTTAGGCTATACGCAAGCACGGTTTCTGCTAGTCTGGCGTCCATAATGGCTGAACGAGTGTTCACAGCGGTAACACATCCGTAGCTACTGAGGTCAACTCGGGCAGAGTACCAGATACCCTGACTTAAGATTCTGGCTATTTTACTATGTCATTTCAGGAGATTACGCTGGAACGACCGCTTCCTTCAGCGTCATTTACAATTCATTGGGTATAACCATGCGATGCTGAATAGCTTCTGAACTTGTTACAGCCTCATTAAGTAATTTATGAACCGCTTTAAGTTGAAGCATTCCGTTGTGCACTGTGTCTCAGTAGTTTGACAATAAATCCCTCCTCAACATTTATGGCCACTTTATTTAAATAGGCAACACGTTTCGATGCTTACATCACCATCAACTGGTCTTCTTATGATTTGGTTGATTACATTCAGTGTGTACTGCTTTACAGATGGATCCATTTATGCAATATTCGTAAATATAATATAATTTATTAAAATTAAAATTTAATTAATTTGAAACTACATTTACTAACGTCTAGTATTGTACGATATTACTAATATATCTTTGGCATATACTATTGTTAACCCTTAAAAGCCACATTCTTTAACACGCAACCATTCTGCATTCTGATCACAATGTATTTAGAGTGTTCTGAAAGGCAGTGATTATTTCCTTAAACAGGATTAACCAATTGATCTTGTTATGGTGAAGTATTGTGTTTTCTTTTCGGTAAGAACTAATTATTACGAGATTGTTTAGATGAGCTTGACCTTAAGAGGGCTTAAATGTTATTTATATGAACATTAACAATGAGACTTTTCTTTTATATGTTTGATGGGTTAAAATACGACTTAGTGTTTCGCCTTACTAATGACATCCACATGATATCTTCGGTATTTTGTTGGGCAGTCAGGGTGGATAACGCTGATAGATGAAGCCTCTTCACTTCGTTGCTCGTAATATTGTCGATATTGACCTTCTTGGGTTGTAATGCAATATGGACTTGTAGCTAGATTCTAAAATTCCGGAGTAACGTACTGCCTCCATCTTCTACGGTTTCTCAGCTACAAGAGTACTATCGTATTCTGCGCACTAAATTTGTCTGGGATAAACCTCTAAAGATCCAGGGAGGTCAGCCTTCCTCGAGACCCAGAATCTTTCCCTGGACCTCCCGAATATTAAACCGGAATGACAGGTCCGGCGACTTGCCAGGACTCTGCCTCGTATATATATATATTCCATTTATATAAAGTAAATATCCAAATCATAAAGCTTAAAGCTCCGCTGCTACTTTAGACAATAGGCGATAAGTCTGTTATAGTGAAGATCCTGAATAAGCTATTAAGTTCAGTCACTTTACTGAGAAAGTAATACTTGTGTATGACCTATGAGAAGAATTCATATGTGTCACATCCTGCTGCTTCTACAATAAACGAATACTTTGGCATAGCACCTTTTTTGTTGTCCAAATAAAGGCAACGTGTGTCACGTCCTGTTGTTCCCAAAATAAACTAGACGCATTTCGACCATTATCCGCTGACTTTTCACAGCCGTTAAAGTAGCTCATTTCATCCGAAATGGTAGACGTTTTGCACTCGTCAAAGTACTCCAGTGGCTTACTTAAATTTACGATAATGAATGTGCATAAAATCAGACATTTAAAGCTGTCTAAGTGATAGGCTGTTAAAAGTACGAAGCATGAGGAGGACTGTCGAACAACGCAACTCGACCACTCTAAATAACAGACGTTACAGCGTGACCTGCAGTATAAAAGCAAACTTTCTCGACTTAACATCGTTTATTGCTGCGAGGACACCAGGCGAGCATAGAAATTGGATTTCATGTCTGCTGCCGCTACAGTGAGGAAATTAAATTTATATTAAATTCTTAGCTCGGTTACGTGCTTACATTGAACACTTTCCGTCCGTCCGTCCGTCTGATTGCGTTGTAGCAGACAGCTTATACAATTAGTATCAATCAACAAACGAGAACACCACTCGTTTGGAACAGCAATAATTATTTGTCTAAAATTGTTTTAAAATTATTACTGTTGTAATATGTAACTCCTTAAAGGTATAACGCCTGCCTCAACTTCTGTGCTTCGACTTTAATCGTCTCGTCACGGAAAATTAGCAACCAGGAAACACCCACAAAAATGATGTGAATACTCACTCAGCCATACAAGAAGTTAAATTTGTGAAACACAAAATTTTCACGGCGAATAAATACAGTGACTTTTTTTAGACGACCAATCACATTAAAACAAAAAAAGTCGTCGTTTCGGAAGTTGTCTCTGTGTATTATCAGGGGCTGGTGAAAAAGTAATCCGTGTATTGAAAATTACTGTTATCCACTCACCTAAAGCTATATGATTTTGTGAGCTGGTTAGCAAAATTTCGAAATATACTTTTATATTAACTTGGAATTTCGAAGTACGAAATGAATACTGGATTCATGATAAAGTCATGTCATTGACAGGATTGATCCATCGCTCTACTGAGCTGTAAGTTTTAGTACCAGTGCAATTAGTAGCACTGCTATCTGTGCCTGCGCCATCATCTGATGTACTCAGTTATCACAGTTAACTGCTGAGTATTTCCTGGAAATTGGTTCTAATTGGGTTTAATATCACTATATTTGTCCCTGTGATATGCCTATACAGCGCACTTTCAAAACGGGAACATATCAACATTTGACAAACGAAGGTCGTAGAGAATAAAATTCTTATAGGCCTGTTTCACTTAAGGCGCAAAGTTACTAGGAGTTCTGACCTCGTTATATTGTACCAATCGCCACTAATTCAAATTGAGATCTCCCCTGTCAGACGTGCGGCTGATTCCGGCCTCGGTGCTGCTACGGAGTTAGCTGCGGTCCAAACATGAAGAAACAAGACTACTTTCTCACGTATTATAAGTAGGATCCACGATGTAGAAATATCGGCAACGCAGATTTATATTACTGCTGGCAATATTCTCGCTGTTCACTTAGCCATCGCACATTATTATCAGCTGGCCCCAACCTAAAAGTTTCAACAGCACTAACACGAAAGTCTGCCTTAGAACATAATTCTAAGCCAGTTAGATCCACCTCCCACTCCTCACAACCTATTTCACCAAGTTCAGTCTTAATGTTTCTTGTTCTCCCGTTTTATTGTCGGTCGTCCAAAAGGATTTTCCGACCGAAATTCTATTTACATTTCTTGTATTTGTTGTCTCCGCCATTCGAGCTGCATGGTCAACCCAACATGACCTCACTGATTTTACTACTAAGTCCAGCGACGATAAACTCTCTAAATACCTGGCTCAGCGTCGCTGAATACCCTACAAATCGATTAGGAAACAATGTGTGAAGGCGGTTTGCTTTATTCAGAGACACGCTGTTTCATAAATACGAATACAGAATGTGGTTGTGATTCATTTATTCGCTGCAGAAACATAAAAACCTGCATTACCTGTTGGAATTAAGTTTTAATACATATAAATGATGTGATCATGTAATGTAGCCCCAAGAAGAGTTTATAGAACGTGATCAAAGCAACGAGAATAACCCAGACAATAGAATATGAGGATCCGTTTATGCGGTTGTCAGAGCCTGTCTTAACCCTTCAAAGCCCAGTGGTAACTATGTACCGCCTATTTCAACATTCTACTGATAGCTCTGAATTTTTGCCAGAGAGTGTATGTATGGGTTTCGTATGATTATCGCTAGCAATAACTA